TTTCTCAAAGGAGATACACTCTGTGTCCACAAGCTGATTTCCAAGGCCCAAGCTGTCTACCATGGTCATGCACCCGCCATGAATAAACATTTCTACTCCTCTTTCGAAGCCCAGAGAAGAATGTGCAACACTCTGCACGAAAGCAGACCAAGCAAGAACCTCTCGAATGCTCAAAGGATGTAGGACTCGCTCATTAAACCAAGTCACACAGCTGAGCATGGGTCTTGCAAGCTGCGGCCACGACAATTGGCTCTGCACCAGCTCTTCCGCCTCCTTGGTCGAGAAATCAATTGGTTCCACCCATATTTCGGTGAAGCGATTACGCAAGGCAGGTGACAACTCCCGCTTTCCAAAGTCACCACCCGGGTTCATGGTGGCAAAGAGCCGGAAGCTGGGTGACGCGCATACCACCTCCAAATCCACACCAGTCAAAGGCTTCTCTGCAAGTAGCAAAGAATGCTCCGGCTCCAGGACTGAGTTCAATCTTTCCAGGACGGAGTCTTCGGCCAAGGAGATCTCATCCACCAGAAAGCCACCTCCAGAACGCATGGCTTCAACCAAAGCCCCGTCAGCCCACTCGAAAATGCGGTCGTAGTCTGCACATAGGCTAGCCAATTGTGCAGTCAATGGCAGAAGCAAATCACTCATATCACCCTGTCTTGCTTCCAACCGGCGGCGCTTGTTGGCTGGCGCGGCTTCTAATTCCAGAACATTCTTCACAGAGCGAAGAGCCTGGTTGAGGTCTTTCAGATTTCCTCCTGACTGAGGTCTTTCAGCGTTCGCTCGGCAAAAGGCTTTCACTTCTCTTTGAAGCCTTTTTAAACTCTGAGCGAGTTCTGCATCCGCATTTTCCACACCACCAAGCTCCATGTCAAGCTTGTTACACGTTTCGCAAATCGCATTGAAAATGCCATCCCGACCACGCACCGGACGCAAGGACCCTATAAAGTCCGACGTTTCGGTCTGCTGGTGGCAATTCAGAGTCCGCAGCCTGCGTTCGTGTCGATTTTCTTCCACCAAGGCCCAGGAGATTAACTGGCAGGCCATGGTTTTACCACCACCGGTTTCCCCCACCAGGAGAGCTGGCTCACCAGAACGCACACAGCGGCCAATGAGAGCCACCATCCGACAAAAGGCAGGTGTCCAAACGACTTCCCCTACCCCAACAGGAGGCTGATCCCCAGCTTCCAATTTTGCCTTAACACGGCCCTTCGCCTCAACGACAACTGCATCTTTTTGGTAATCCACTTGCAAAACCTTCACACCACTACAATGTTTCTGCAAGGACTTGCGGATGACTTCCCGTTCCTCTTCCTTGCGAAGCCTTTCGGCGAGCAGTGCCCATCCCTCAACTGCAAGCTCCTGATAGGAATTGGGCTTGCGATTGCCCCATCTCAACAGGTCGCGAACTGTCATAAAGCTTTGCTTGCCCAGAAACACTGCAGATTGATTGCGATGGGACTGCAGGTCTTGATAAACAGCCAACATAACCTTTACATAAGATGGAGGAACCTGGCAGCGTTTGTGCAGTACAACTGCCAGCTCTTCCATGGGTAGTTCACTCACAAAGACTTCAGTGAAGCGATTCCTGAAGGCTCTTGACAGTAGTTTTCGACCCCCATAGTTGGCTCCGGCTGGATTCTGAGTTGCGAAGACCATAAACTCCTCATGAGGCTTGACAACAGCCCCAGTGTCTGGGATGTACAATTCTCGATTGTCGTCCAACAAACGGTTGAGGGCTTCAAGAACTTCACTTGGAGCCAGATTCAGCTCGTCCAGAACCACCCAATGGCCTGCCCTTGCCGCTCGTACCAAAACACCCTCCTGGAAAACCAGCTGTCCAGTGGCCGGATCGCTGACATATTGACCGACGTACTCTTGCAAATCCGTGTGCTCGTGGTTATTAATTCGGACAAACTCATGGCCAGTCAAGTGTGCCAAGAATTTCACCAAAGAAGTCTTGCCAGCAGAAGTGGGCCCCTCCAGAAGAATTGGGAATCGCCCTCCACTCAGCATTCGAGCGATGTTGTGCAAGTTCCTTCGGACCGAATCTGTAATCACAAAGTCCCTGTGCGCAGCATCTATGTGGATCTCTTGAGGACCCGCTTTGATCCAGTAGCCTTCCACATTGATCCAGCTCTGGTCCGCGTCCATCTTCACAGAAGCTGTTGATGATGTAGCCTTCATCAGAGCCAAAGAAGGCACAAAGCGAGTCACATCCAAAACACTCCAAAAAGACTCAGGGACTTGCAGGTGAAATGGTCTATTCTGTTCTATCCAATTTTGACCAACGGACCTCAGGGGCACCATGTCTTCAAGCTGTCCCCTTTTTCTCTAAAACGGCGCCTTGGTCCCACGCTCGAGCTGCAATGAAGATGAGACTCCAAGTGCCTGAGACACAAGTCAAGGACTTATTGGACAGAAGCACATCAGATGCTGTACAGGCCTCTTTGATCATGTCTTCAACCATTTTTGAAGAAGACAAGTCCAGTGTAGTTGCCTGAGTTGCGTTTTGAATGACGCCCTCTCCCTCTGGTCATTCTTGCAACGCTGCAGGGCTCCGGGCAAAGCCAACAGCAAGGCCTTGCGCCAAGGCCTTAACTGCAGCACTTGCTTTAAACAAAGAAAAACTGAACTGCCTACACTGCCTACAATGCTCAGGTGCTCTGGCCTGCTTGGCTGGAGTCGCATGGTGCCTTGGAGTCGTTGAAGGGAGTCGAGGGGTTGCGTGGCATCGCATGCTTTCAGGCTGGGCTGGTCAGGTCCAGACGTACGTCGCGCCAGTCGCAAGGCAAAACGTAAGGCTCGCGTGAGGTTTCGCAGGGAGAAGTAGGAGACCTTGGTACAACTGTGCTCTGATCAAAACCAGCAGCCTCCATGATGTTTCTTCATATTCCAAAAATGACATGCAGCTGCTGGGGAGACCTGTTGTTACCTCCGCTTGGGCTGCTGGCTCTCCCAGCGCCATCGAGAAGAACATTCTGACCTCGGCTTTCCCGGCGCGAACATGCCAAGGCCTGATGCACCTTCCGCATGGCGGTTACCAAATCTACAGCTGTCCAATGCTTTGATGTCATCTTCTTAGAGGGACAGCTCACCATGCAGTGCCACACAATATCATTCTGCTTGTAAATCAGGATAAACCAAGGACCGGGCGACAAAGTGTGCTGGCCTTTTTGAAGAAGCCTGCTGCTCATCATCTAGAGAGTCTAAAGGTTTTACAATGGGCGAAGTTGTTCAGCAAACTCAAATACTCAGTCATTTGCTGATTTTGTCAAGAAGCAAAGGTAGCGATCAACACAGCAGGTTGAGTAGATTGAGAAAGAATGGGCACACTAATACAATAAGCCAAAGAAATAAAGCTTGAAAAAAGGAGTCCCTCTAAAGGAGTGGTCAAAAGCATGCACAAATACTACACGCGTCAAAAAGGTAGTGCAACAATGAAGCGAGAGACAAGTGTAGTGCTGGGCAAAAGCAAAGGAAAGTTGCATCACGATCAAAAGCCATTCCTTGTGTTGCAGGGTGGCTTGGTGGGTGGCTGGGTGGGTGTGTGTGGGTGTGTGCGGACACTGTTGCGGCGTTAAACATGGGAGGCGCGCACTGCAGAATCCCCAGCAAGGTGCATAGAACAAGTACGGGGAGAAACCCCGTGCAGTGCAAAGTGCAAAGTGCAAAGACCATTCAAAGGCGATCCAAACATGTGCAACACATTCACTCTACTCCGGCCGTTGCAAGGCATTTTTGTTCCGGCCGAGTTGGAGAAGCTCCACAGGCCTACGATGGCATCCACCGGAGGATTTGGAAGATCGCGTTCCAAGTAGCTTCGAACCTCGCGTTCGTTCCGGGACCGGTTTCCTTCGTTCGTTCGCGGCGAAGCCCAACGAGCGGCGAATGCGTTCGTTCTGAGAAGGCAGCGATTTGCCCCAAGTCTTCGGCCGTGTGCACCTGACCAGTTGGTTAGGCTAGTAACTGAGTGGTCAGTTGGACACAGTTACTACGGCCAATGGTTTGCACACAAAAAGCTTAAAGGCTTTGTTCAACCCATTCTGCATCCTCAACGCCACCCTGGCTCTGCCAGGCGCTGTTTATGTACATCAACAGCAGCTCGATCATCGACACTCCCGCTTCCCACTCAACTCAGGCAGAAACTTCCTGCTGGAGAAATGGCTCTGACTCTCTAAGAAAGGACATCCTCGGAAAAATGTCACTAGTAACAAGTGCCACGCTAGTAGTAACAGGTGCCTTACTAGTAGTAACAAGAAGCTACTAGTAACAAGTGCCTTAGGTGTTGTGAATTTGTGAGCCTCAGCGATGTGAACCATTTTTGCATCTCAGTGGAGATAAAGAAGCGTCTCGAGTCGATGCAAAGCTGGGTCAAGACCAAAGCCCTGCCCCGGCAGCCCTGCCCTGACACAGAATTTCAGCGTCTCGGTCGCACCGGGTTTCAATGCACCGAAGCCATTGGTCCAGCTTAAAGGTGTTTTTTGTGCGGCGCTAAAAACGTCGTAAATCGTCCAGCAAAGGTCTCTCACATTGGCTCAAACGATGGCCACAGCCCTGACAGCGCGAAGGGACTGGAGAGGTCCCTTGGGTAAAACATTGCAAAACTATATATTGAAAAGAATGCAGGCCGCGCCTAAACCACATTGAAATGGCCAGGACTGCCATGCCACCAGAAATTTGCAAGGCATAGAAAGTAGCTTCAGAAAGCGCCAAAGAAGCTCTTCCCCTGAGTCAAATGCTTACAGTATCTTCCGTATGGCCCGCAAGGAGTCGTTGTCTTTATGGAGTCAGTAGTCACAAATGAAGCACTCACATCGTTTTCCCCAAACATTTGTCACTCGTATCCTCTCTCTCTCTCGTTGGCTGAGAGCATATCACATCAATCTGCAATTCTCGCAAGTCGATCTGCAGAATTTCACCTTAGATAGCTCGTTCACCTAGACTCGTTCCAGACCGACTAAGACCAGTCTGTGAAGAATGGTGACGGTGTCATCGTGTCAGTACCTCAGCAAGCCACGGACAAAGCTATGCAGCAGCTCCGAGTAGAGCAGTACCTGGGTGGAAAAGCAATCATGATTGCATGGCCTGGTCAAAAATGACTTCCCTCTTCGAATTGTGTTACATCTGATCTGAATTCCAGATCGAAAACTGTTGCAGGCCCAGCCTGGTGGAGCAGCAAATGAATTCCAACCAGCAACAGGCCCTCGAAGATGCTCAGGGATGTGAAGTTGGACACTGCCTCGCTTTCCCAAACGCGTTTCAGAACTCTTCGGTTGAATTCGCTGCGGCATTTTTCAGACCCTCCAGACCCGCTCGGTCGGCCGCGTGGCCTGGAACCAAGCGAGACGCGCCGCTCGGGCATAGCCATGCAGAGGCAAGGCGATCAAGAGCACAAGACCTGGAGGAACATGGACGCTACGGGACGGGGCTCCTGGCCATACTACTAGGAACAATGTTCGCTATTAGAAACACGAATTCAATCACCTGGAGAATGACTGCCCGCTGGAGATTGGGGGGGACCAGGATGGCAGGTGTTGGGACCGATGCGAAAGCCAAAGGCACAATAGATTAGAAGAAAAATGGCCAGGTCGGACAGCAGGATTCCGTAAAGCCTTAGAGGAAAGCTGCCAGTTGATTGGATAATTAAAAATACCAAGCCAATCGAAGTGTAGTTAGGAAGTGTCCATGCAACTGGACGAAGCAGTATCAGTATGCATCGAACTGAAATCTCAGATCGCAGTGTTGTTACCCAAACAAAATAGGATTTGAACTGCAATCAGCAGCATTCGGAGCGCTGAGAAAAAAACATTGATGGACCGAGAAGCACATACTGCTTGATCTTCGGAAGGTCCCATTTCTCCTGAATGGCTTCTGCATAGGCCTTGAGCTTCTCAAACTTGCCAAAGCCTTTCTGCTCTTTCCTTGGACAAAAACTGATGGAACTTGGTCCTGCCATCGTGGTGGATCCGTCGTGGCGGATCAAACCGACGATGTCCGGTTTTCCTTCTCCAAGTCACACGACTTCCTTGACCACCAAGTCTTTGATCCTGTACGCCAAGGCAGCTGCAAAAAGATTATTACCATCATGGATGAGCCTCAACATGGATGGGAAATATATGGATGTCAATATCCTGAATCTGCAGTGGGAGCCATTTCCATCTATTTTGAGACCTGAAGTAGATGAGACATGGTGCAAAAGAGTCCTCTGGTGCTCATTTCTAAAGATCTGCTTCGTCAAATCGCCAAAGCGATACCTCAATGTCTTCCAAATAAAAGGGCACGGAGCACTGACCAAACGGGAAGGTGTTTTCTGAGCTGTGTCAATTGACGAGACGGCTGTGTCAAACGGTCACTAAGCCGGAGGACTTTCCTTGGACTTGCTCAGTCTCCTGAATTCGGTTGCTCATGGTGGCTCTGTGTTCCAAAACCAGAATGGACCCCACACCCTCCAAGCGCTTGGTATGAAATGCCAAAGCTGATGAGTGGTTTGCAGGGATGTCCGAATGTGCTGGGATGTTCCTGCTATAGGTACAGGGATTAATGCCTTTCCGACTTTGCTGGGGAGTCGAAGAAGTTGCATCTTCAAGATGCAGACACACCACAGAGAAATGGGAGCATGACGATGGGCAAAACGGTTATTTGGCATCTATGTGGTGCATGAGAGCCCTTTAACCACAGAATGGTTTCGCATATATTCACAGTGTGTGGAATTGGACCGAGTTAAATTCCTGGCTCCAGCAGTCCAGTCCTCACAAGTCTTTAGCAGCAGCTCAGCTTTGCAGTGCTCGGCCATGTTAGCTCCCAAGCCCAGATGACACCTTTTCCGGATGGTTAGAGATAGCAAAGCAAATGAAGACGGAACTTTCCTGAACTGTATAGGTTGGAGGCCGAGTAGGTTGGAGGCCATCGCTATTGGGTTGGAGGCCATCGCTACTAGAAACAAAGAAAAAGAATAAAGGACCGGATAACCCCACATATGAGTCTTTACGAGTCTTAAGTTTCTAAAGCACAAAGCAGTCAGAGTCTCAATAGTTTCTACAACATGGCCTTGTCAGGAGTTATATCAGAAATACACAACAGAGGGGTGGGAGAGAGGTGTGGGAGAGTAATGTGCACGGCGGATGTACGAGGTATTGTGCAGACATGTGTGTACAGCCACAACTAGCCGAAGTAAAACCCCATCGCTCTGCCGATGTAAACCCTATAGCCAAGCTCTTTTTCATCGCGCAGACGAAAGCAGGTCGTGTTCGTGAACCTGGGCGTCGTCATGAGTATTACATGCAAAAGACGTCATCACCGTCCAAAGATTTTGTTTGTCGCTGTCACCACATCATTTGCGCCTTGGAATCTATGTCGCAGAGCTTTCCAATTGGGACGACGCCGTACCTGCATATGGTCGAACGATGTTTCCAAGAACCTGCAGCAGTCGATCGATATTTGCATAACAGCACAACAGGACTGAACATATAGAGACACAGCCAACTGTATAGGAAATGGTCCACGTATCGTTTATGGTCGTTTTGACATTGAAAGCGCACCGTTTGCGCCTTGGTATCTGCTTCGCAGCGCTTTCCAAATTGGATCGTGTCTGCAAGAAGATACTGCACCTGCACATTGTCGAAGAATGTTGCCAAAACAGCGAAAACAGGACTGAACACACAGAATTGTAAGAACAAAGTCTGGAAAGCTTCGGCCTTTCAGTGTGTCATGGTGCCTTGGCATCTGCCTCGCAGATTCGTACTGACATCATGTCTGCAAGAAGATGAAGCACCTGCACGTGGCCGAACGATCTTTCGACAAAAGCAAAGCAGGACTCCACATAGAAACAGTGAACTGTAGGAAAGCAGGAACGTTTCGTTTCTAGGTTTTGTCATTGAGGAGTGGACATAGACACAGCCAACTGTATAGGAAATGAGCCACGTTTCGTTTATGGTGGTTTTGACGTTGAAAGCACACCGAAACTCCTTTGTTTCATAGCGCAGACGAAAGGGCTATTATCTGCAACAAGATGCAGGTGCGAAGCGGCATCTGCCCGGCAGTGCTTTCCAAACGGGATCGTATCTGCAAGAAGATGCTATGCTCATCTGCGTCACAGGTGCGAAGTGGCATCTGCCCGGCAGCGCTTTCCAAATGGGATCGTATCTGCAAGAAGATGCTATGCTCATCTGCGTCACAGGTGCGAAGTGGCATCTGCCCTGCAGTGCTTTCCAAATGGGATCGTATCTGCAAGAAGACGCTATACACATCTGCGTCACAGATCTTTGGTGCGAAGTGGCATCTGCCCTGCAGTGCTTGGCAAATGGGATCATATCTGCAAGAAGATGCTCATCTGCGTCCAACACAAACATCCCATTGCTCACGTAGACGTAGAGCGCCATCTCGGCATCGTTCTGCTCTCTTTTGGAATTCTGCTACACGAGTGACAATGGACTCAGGAGGGCCCCGCTCCAAAATCTCGCGAGGAGGTGGGCGCAAAAGAAGTAGATCACCGAGAGGTGTGACTCTCAAGAACATGACATATAAATGGAGCCACCAATTGTCGTCGTCTAACTCGGGCAAGCGCGCACAATCAACGATCGTGCCTGTGCGTAGGGTCAAGCCTTGAGAAGCAGTGCTAGTCAAACACTGGGCATGTGTCACTTGAAAACCACAACGGCGAACTTCGTGCTTCTGCGTACTTTCACTTCAACTGCGGGCAAGAACCAAAAACTTTTCGCCAGCTTGCAAGCCTCTTCATCCGTCTGAACACGCTTACGACACATCTCTTGAAGTTCTTCCCAATCCGGACAGCCTGAATACCCTTTTACAGAGACCCACAAACCGGAAGGTAGAAAGAGTATAAAAAAATTTCACCAGGGACGGTTTGGCGGTATGCTTCTCTGTCAAGACTGTGAACCTCAAAATCGATGATCTTAGCCTGGGTATCTTGGACCATACCTGCGTCACCATCGAGCTTTGCTAGAAAGCGTATGTCCATGCCGATATGACAACGAAACACGCCGTGCATGTGTCCTGTCTTGTTGGGATTAGTCATGTTCAGAAAGCGAAAAGCTGCGTCTTGCTTGAGGTCACAACGTTCATCGGCAGCTTGCAGCGCGACCAACGGAACCTGTAACTCTTTAGCATCGAGAACAGCGCAATGAGACAACATGCGTGCCAAAGAACCCCAATAGATGGACACGCAATATCCGTAGCGAACCTTGTCTTCGAAAAAGCGAGGGTCTGGGACACCAGGCTCGGCGTCTTTTGCAAAACGGCCTTGGAATTTCCGCGAAAGAGGCGTTGGCAACTTCTTCCCCTGTCGCATGCACTGCAGTAGGTCGATCAAAGGATCGCCAGACTTGAACCTCATGGGCCCTCGCAGCTCGAAAACATCGGGGATGTTTGCAAAGACTTCTTGCGCGCGCTGCACTTCAGGCGCCACTGCCTCGTACTTGAGGTCGCCGTCTGCATTCTTTGCGAGGCATTGCCTGGCCAGCTAGCCGACGCAGAAGGTCACTGTTTGCCTGACAAAAGTTTCGGCTTTCTTCTTCAAAGAAGTACTGCAGGGCATCATTGATGAGGTCAAGGGGCAAGTCATTGCAATCACTGTGGACGGCAGGCAGCCCGACTCCTCTTGCAACTATGTATCATGGGGCAAACAGGCAAGGTGGTGTCTGTTGTAGGTTCAGCACTCCTGGAGGGAGTGCGACTCTGTGCTTCAGCAGGCTCGGGCCCTTTGTCTGTGCTTGGCCCTGACTCTGAGGAGGCCTGGCCAGCTGCTTGCATAAGCTGTCGATAGCATGTTTGAGAGCCAGTTTCTGGGGGGGGGTGGACTGAGACGACATCGGTATCCATCTGCGCCTCATCTGAATCCAGCTGGGGTGGTTTCGGGAAGAGCTTTGAATGGCGTGTGGGAACGGACCGCCACTTCATAAGGAGGCAGAAACGGAGGGCACTGTTGCCTACGAGGCCTGTACTGCTGCCCGAGAACTTGCACCCACCAGACATCCAGCAAAGACAACTGTGCGGTAGGCCGAAGCTGAAAGAAGTCACCGAGATGCAACCCAGTAGGAACGCGACCAAAAGCACAGCCCACCTTCGAGTATGTGTGGGGATCGACAGGCCAAGCCACACGACGACCCAACATAGCTCGAAAGTCCAGCATGTTGTACATCATAGCCGAAACCATGCTGATCTCTGCAACTTTTGCGCCACACACACATCTGCAGGTTCCGAAACAAAAGACACGAATGCTGCAGAGCACCCAACAACAGCTTTCATGTGTAGGTTATGACGTGATTTACATTCACCAATCCTGGGCCTGGCGGAGCCTGAGCCCGACTAGAAAACCTGCGCGTCAGACATGTTTCAATGAAAAGTCCAAGATTTGCCATATATTCTCTGTCTAATTTCAGATCTTGAGCTCCCAGCTAGAAGCAAGTAAAGTCACCTTCAAACAGTTCTCGCACACCCTTCCACTTCGACTTTTATATCAGTCCTTGTCTGCGAAATATGACTGCTAATGCTCCCGATACTTTTGCCGCGCAACAGATGCACTAGACTTGAAACATTTCTGCAGGATCCGAAACAAAAGAAATAAATGATACAAATAGCATCCATCAGTAGCTTCTGCGAGGACAGTAAACCTCTCTGCACTCCTCTCCAAGCATACCACTGAAGTTCCGACCGTCTCCAGTAGCTCTTCATCACCATAACCTCAAGCTGAAGTGCTACGCCACATACTAACTAACATAACAACATGACAAACACTAACAAATCACAGTACAGACTCGAAACAAATCTTTCAACATCTTTCAATCGCTGAAAGGTTTGGAATTTGCAGTCTTTTCTTGAATGTATCCTCTGCCATCCTCTCTACAAGCATACCACTGAAGTTGCGACAGTATCCACTATCTCTTCATCACCATAACCGCAAGCGGAAGTTCTATGCCACATACTAACAAACATGAGTACAGAGACTGATGCTACCGTTTAGCTTCTTGATGTCCGGCGCAATTCACAAGAAGCAAAAGCTTGAGCCGCAGAAAAGCTTGAGCAGTCCGGGCGATTCAGTTCTGGTTTGACAAGTGATTCTAAACTGCGAAGCTTCTGAGACACTTCTGAAATCTAGCCATGTCAGCATTCAAGTTTTCCCATAATCAAAAGCAGCCACACAAACTGAGCACAATATCGTCGCATCGCACTGAGACGCTTCCGAATCTTCAACATCAGCTAATCTTCCTGATCATCAAACAACCAATGATGCGGATACAGACACTAGCTACCTACCCCTTCCTCCCGACAATGAGACGCTTCAGTGTGAAAATACTGAGATGATTCTGAAATACAGTCGAATCAGCCTATCAGCAGCTAATCTTCATTTTCAATTACCATCAATGCCAAGACACTGAGACGCTGAAATGCAGTTGCGTCATCACCTAATCTTCCTTTCACTTCGAAGCAAAAGAAAGCTTCAATGTGAAGTCACTTCTGACAGCTTGTCTCTAGAAATCTCTACGTCTGAACACTTTTCTCTAGAAATCTCTACTTCTCACTACTTTTCTCTAGAAATCTCAATTTCTGACCACTTTTCTCTAGAAATCTCTATTCCTGAATACAAATCTCTACTTCTGACATTTTCCTCTAGAAACCACTACATCTGAACACTTTTCTCTAGAAATCTCTACTTCTGACCACTTTTCTCTAGATATCTATTTCTGAAGACAAATCTGACGTTTCTACTTCTGACCACTTTTCTCTAGAAATCTCTACTTCTGAAGACAAATCTGACTACTTTTCTCTAGAAATCTCTATTTCTGACCAGTAGCCGCCACGCGGCGACAACCGGCGACAACACAACCACCAGACGTACCCTCTAAGAGAGCGAGATCTACTGCAATTTACAATAAGACAGCGCCGCAGCGCCGCAGCCGCCAAAAGGCGTCAACCGGCGACAACGCAACCACCAGACCGTCTGACGGAGCGAGATCTACTGCAATTTACGCACTAAGACAGCGCCGCAGCCGACCAGCGGCGACCAGCGGCGACAACAGCCGACAACGCAA